CTGGCGTCGGCGCGCAGCCCGACCGACGCCGACACGTCGGCCAGCCCGCGCGGCGTCGTGACGGCCGTGACGCCGGCTGTCAGCGCAAAGTGCGCGTCGACGCGGCGCGTGCAGCGGATGCTGGCGTGCGACTGGGCGCGCGCGGCCGCGACCTCGACGGCGTAGTCGGTGCGCGCGCCGCGCGAGCCCTGCAGCGACAGCGCCACGCCGCTGGGCTCGCGGCCTGGGAGCGGCGCCGCGTACTGGCTGCCGGTGCGCACGGTCAGCGCGCCGACGGTCGTGGGCGTCAGCGCGCGGCCCAGCGTCACGGTGGCGGCGGGCGCGTTGCGCGGGCGCAGGGCGACGCGCGTGGTGGCAAAGGCGCCGTGCGGCAGCTGGTGGACGGCGTCGACCGTGGCGGTGTACGGCGGCAGCGCCGGCGCGCTGACGGACACCCACGAGCCGCCGCCGGCTGCCGCCGCCGATGGGGACGCGGTGCCCAGCGCGCGGCGCAGCGTGGCGACGACGTTGCCCGAGCCGCGGCCCTGGCGCGCAAACATGTTGGCGGCGACGACCAGCGCGGTCGACTCGGACAGCGTCGAGGTGAACGAGTGCGACACGGCCAGCGACTCGACGGCGGCGCGGCCGCGCGTGAAGCGCACGACGGGCGCGGCCTCGGACTTTGACTGCACCCACTGCTCGATGTCCTCGGTGCGCCGCCGCCGCGCCTCGCGCTCAAAGTGCGCGTGCAGGTCGCGCGCCGACTGCACCTTGTGGCCGACGGCGCGCGCGATCGGCACGCCGGCCTCGCCCAGCGCGTCGTACGCCGCGCGCGTCGCGTCGTCCGACAGAACCTCGTGCGCGCGCTGGATGCCGTGGAAGTGCCGCTGCGCCCACTGCCGCTGCTCGGCCGCCGTGTGGCGGTCGGGGTGGAACACGCGGCTCAGCCGCTTGTACGCGTCGTTGATGGCTGCGGCCGACGCCGTGCGCGGCACGTTGAGCACAGCGTAGTAGTCGGCGCCGGAGTCTTCGGCATTGCGCAGCAGGTCGTGGAGGGCGTCCTCATCGGGGTCTGTGAGCTGCTGGTTCATTTTGAAGGGAATTTGGAATTGGAATTGAAATTGGAATTGGAATTGGAATTGGAATTGGAATTGAAATTGGAATTGGAATTGAATTGAATTGAATTGAATTGAATTGGAATTTGAGCTGTAATTGGAATTGGAATTGGAATTGGAATTGGAATTGGAATTGGAATTTGAACTGTAATTGGAATTGAATTTGGAATTGAATTGGAACTGGGACCAACTCCAACTCCCACTCCACCTCCAACCCCAACCCCAGCTCGATTCGCATAACCCTAAACTCGCCTTTGCTCACCGCTGATCCGCTTTGATCGCCGCCGCGATCGCCGCCGCAATCACCGCTGCGCACCGCCACACGTCCGCGTAGCTGTTGTACAGCGGCGCCGGCGCAATGCGGATGCAGCTGGGCTTGCGCTCGTCGCACACGACGCCGGCGGCCGCCAGCGCGGAAAACACCGCGGCGAACGCGTCGGCGTCGTCGAACACCACCGACAGCTGCGCGCCGCGCTGCGCCGGGTCGCAGGGCGTGATGATGCGCGCGCGCACCAGCGCCGGCTGCAGCAGCCGCTCCAGCAGCGCCGTCAGCCGCTCGGACTTTGTGCGCAGCCGCGCCATGCCGCCGGCGCGCGCAAAGACCTGCAGCGACCCCAGCAGCGCGGCGGCAGCCAACACCGGCGTGTTGCTGACCTCAAAGCCGGCGGCGCCGGCGGCCGGCGCGAAGGCGTTGGTCATGTCGAAGCGTGTGGCGGCGTCGTGGCCCCACCAGCCCTTGAGCCGCGGGTGGTCGGCGCCATGGCGCTCGTGCACGAAGAAGCCGGCCACGCCGCCTGGGCCGGCGTTGAGGTACTTGTACGTGCACCAGCACGCAAAGTCGGCGCCCCACGCGTGCAGCTGCAGCGCGACGTTGCCGGCCGCGTGCGCCAGGTCCCAGCCGACCACGCAGCCGGCCGCGCGCGCCGCCGCCGTGATGCGCGCCATGTCGAAGGCCTGGCCCGTGTAGTACTGCACGCCGCTGAGCAGCACCACGGCGATCTCGCTGCCGCGCTCGGCCAGCAGCGCCAGCACGTCGTCGGTGCGCAGCACCAGCTCGCCCGCGCGCGGCTCGGCCAGCAGCACGGCGCCGGCGCCCAGCCCGTGCCACTGCGCCTGCGACTCGGCCGCGTAGTGGTCCGACGGGAACGCGTGCGCCTCGAGCAGGATGCGCGTGCGCTGCGCGTGCGGCCGGTAGAACGCCGCCAGCAGCAGGTGCAGCGCCGACGTCAGCGACGCCATGACGCCGACCTCACGCGCGCCGGCCCCCACCAGCGGCGCCATCAGCTCGACGACGCGCTCGCGGCACGCGACCCACGCGCGCCCGTGCGAGTGGCGGTGGTGGCCGACGACGCCACGCCGCGCCCACTCGTCCAGCTCCTCGCCGACCAGCTGCCGCGCGCGCCGCGGCATGAGCCCGAGCGAGTTGCCTGCCAAGTAGGTGCAGGCGGCGGCGGGGTGGACGTGGTTGTGGTTGGAGCCAGACTCCGAGTCGGAGTCCGATCCAGAACCAGAGCCAGAGCCAGGGCCAGAGCCGGCGATGTCGCCCACTGTCGGGATGCTAAACTCGTCGCGCAGCTCGCGCAGCTCGTCCCGCGCGTCCAGCGCCAGCGCGAGCGCCTCGCTATCGATGGCCAGCCCGGTTTCGGCCGCAACGGCGGCGATGTAGTCCATTGCAAAGATGCGGCGATTAAAGGTGTGTGGTGTGGTGTGGTGTGGTGTGGTGTCGTGTGGTGTGGTGTGGTGTCGTGTGGTGTCGTGTGGTGTCGTGTGGTGTCGTGTCGTGCCGTGTCGTGTCGTGTCGTGTCGTGTCGTGCGGCGCAATGCGGTGCGGTGCGGTCTGGCCAGGTGAAGTAAAACCAGGTGTGGTGAAGTCAGGTGAAGTCAGGTGAAGTCAGGTGAAGCGAAGTTGCGTGAGGCTGGCTGGGTGGGTGGGTGAAAGAAAGAATGAATGAATGAAAGAAAGAATGAAAGAATGAAAGAAAGGGCTTCGCCTCCATTTCCTCATACTTTTGGTTTGAGTCTCGGCTTGCAGATAACATGCGCCGATTGCCACGCAGCCTAAGCCTAACATTAAATTTATTCATCATCCATTTCATTTATCTTTGATTGCTTGGCCCCTCACCGCGCCATTGCACTGTCACCATCGCCGTCAGTCCGCGCGCGCTTGGCACCCGGCTGCCCATCGCCACCGCCACCGCCACCGCCACCGCTGTTGCCGTCGCCGCAGCTCAGCACCACCGACACCGCCGCCCGGTGCGTCGCCACCCGCGTGAAGCCGTGCACCAGCACCGCGCGCGCATTGGAGCTGACGCACCGCTTCGTCAGGTCCGCGTTGAGCTGCACGGCGTCGCCCAAGTGGACAACGTCGTACGGCGAGCGCAGGCCAAACGCCTGGCGCGCCGCGCTGGTCACCACCACTCCGCGGCCGCGCGTCACTCGCACTAGCGCCGCCGCATTGCTGACCCACTGCTGCCGCACGGCCGCGTCAGCTGCCAGCGCCGCATCGTATGCAATCTCAAAGGCAATGCCCAGCGCCAGCGCCTGGCCGACAGTCTTGTGCTTTGCGAAGAACCCCCAGCGCGCGCCCATCGCCAGCGAGATGACGTCGACGCCGTCCCACGACCCGTTGCTGGCCGCGTACAGAAGCTTCTCGGACACCGGCCGCACCGCCACGATGTCGTAGTCGCCGGCCGCCGACCCACTGCCGCTGCACGACAGGCTGTGCCCGTGCGCCGCATCGCTGATCACCGCCGTGACGCGCCGCACCACTCGGATGCTGCCGCGCCCCACCTGCCCCGTGGCCCGCCAGTCTGCGATACGCCTGCCTGTCGCCGTGCTCCAGCTTAGCTGCGCGCCTGCGATCGCCGGCATGCCGCGCCACACGCCCAGGTGCTCGCTCGTCAGCCGCCCTTGGATCGTCTGGTTCACCGCCACCACGCCGTACCCCAGGTCGCGCGCCTGCGAGATCGCCTGCGCCACCTGCGCCCACTCGCTGCTACTCAGCTGCGCATTCGCCCTTCCGGCCGATTCGGGAAGCGCAATGTTCAGGTCGTAAAACATGCTAATAACAATAATTAAATCGAAAACACAGTGAGTGTGTATGAAAAATGTATTTGATACCTTTTTATTTTTTTTTTGGTAATTGCAAGATCAATCCCAAATGATTTCTTTAGAAAAATTCACTGCTAAACTCAAATACCCCCGACTTGGCCGTCTCGGCATAATGGGTTTGCACGCGGCCCCATCTACATCCATCAGCCCCAACTCAATCTCACCCTTCTCACCACTATCTCTCCTCGACATCCATGGCCCCCTCATCATCCCCCTCCTCCTCCGCATCCTCACCCTCTTCATCGTCGCGCGGCAGTGCCGCCGCCACTATTTCCACCAGCTGCTCCAGGTCCTCCGCGCCAAACCGCTCACCACACTCCTCGATGATAAAGTGAAACTCAACCAGCGTCTTTGGACGCAAATTAATGATCTGCAAAATCTCAGCCTTCGTCAGCTCATACTCCTCCAGCTGCCTCTTCAGCTCCGAGATCTGCTCCACTGATTGCGTTGTGCACGCCGTGTTGTTGAGATACTGCAGAGCCTCGAACTTTAGCGTTGTGACATTCTCTGGATACCGCCCTTGTCCCGATGACTGCTGTGCCTTGTGCCGCTCGTCCTCCTCCTGCAAAACCAACAGCACCTCGTAGTTGGTAAGCAGCGCCTCCTGCCGGTTTATGACCTCCATTATATGAATGAGAACGAGTTGGATAACAAAATATTTTATGTGTTTGAAATGTTTTCTGTCACAAAAAAAAAAAAAACCCACAAACCCAACAAACGAAATCAGCTGTCATCACTACCCTCTCCGCCAACCTCCCCTCCCCACCTCCCATCTTATGGTTATTTTTTTCAAACATGCATTTCTTCGGAATATATTTTTTATAAACTCAATTTTATAGTTTGTGTATTATAAATATTATCAATATTCGAGAGAAGTAAAATCCTCCTACGGATCGTCCACCCTAGTATACACCGCACTGCTCACAGCTCCACCCGCAGATCATCGCGCTTTGGCACGATAATTGGATGCAACTGCGCCAAATACGTCAGCCCCCACATCAAATAGCAACTTGCAAACGAAAGAATAGTACACGTCCGCCACAGAGTCGGATCCGTCTTGCTCCGGAACATAAATAGTGCCCCAAAGCATATGCCAACTGTAAGAACTCCAATCCAGAATACCAATGCTCCGCCCATGATTACTATGAAATTCAATCTGAATAGCTTACGCGCTCCTAGCTTTGCTTTTTCTGTGTGTGTTTAATAATAAAAAGAAAAATACACTCAAATGTAGGTATGCAATAGCGCTAAAGTACAAAATATTAATCAAGTTAAATGAATAATCCCTGTTGAATTAAACAGAACTGAAAGTTGAAAAAGGTTTGAATTTAAATTGCCTTTTGGTTTGGCAACGCTTCGCATACAAAAACTCACACAAATGCAAGCATGCACAAACATACACACACACACACACACACACACACACTGTTTATAGAAAGAATGAATGAAAAAGGTGGCTCGGGTTGTCAGCCATACGGCTCGACCGAGCTGCTCTGTGAATGAAAAAAATACAATCCCAATCAATCGAATCCAAATCTTGCTTTCGCTTCGTGGCTCAAAAAATGTTTGCATTTAAATCTTACACCACTGGTATTTCTTCCCCATCGGTTTTATTTATTTTTATTTTTCGCTCTGCGAATCAATTCTTTTTTTTAATTTGACCAAACCATGATTTCTCCCAAACTCTCGCGTCGCGAGAGCGAGACCAATACCAACGACGGCAGCGGCAGCGACAATGACAACGACAACGACAATAACTCTCCGTCCAAACGCTTCAAGGCTGAATTATCCCGCATGAACAACAACAACAACAATGGGCGATCCTCGCCGCCTGTGAGCATCCTCAAAGACGGCCCCATCCCTGAAATCGGCATCCCAGACACCACCAATGACCGTCGCAAGAGCCGCAAGTCCGTCGGAAGACGCGTCAGCTTCGCACGCACAGCCCACGTGCGCATGTTCGATATCCCCGAGGACAAGCGCTTGGCCACACCTCAGGGCATCAACACCTTCACCATGCCCGACATATCCTCGCAAGCCGGCATTGTCGGATTCAACCTGGGCGCCATACCCGCCATCGAAGAAGTGTCCATGACCAGCAATGAGAGCTTTGACGTTTCTGTCCGCCAGTCTGATCCCTCCGACTCTACACACAGTAGTGATATCTCATTCAACAACGCCGCCCAACAGCAATCTGCCAGTACTGCTTCTGGTGCCGGCTCTTTCAACAGTAACAACAGCCTTGCCAACATGCTTAGCGATGACGATGACGATGACGATGACGACGAGAACAGCGATGTCAGCGACGACAACGACCTAGATGATGACGCTGCTGTCACCATGGAGCTCACAGGTACCGTTGACATGGGCGCCATCAACGACTACGGCAGTGAAGACAACGACGAAGATGACGATGACGAAGATGGTGATGTTGGAACTGAGGACAATCGCCCAACAACCAGTCCCACAAGCAATATCAGCAGCCCGATTAGCGCCCCACCGGTTTTTTCTGGATCAACCGACACAGATAACTTCTTGAATATGCTCCTGCAAGAAAGCTCAAACGCCCAGCAAACCAGCCTGCTAGAAAACATCATGTCCCAGTTTAATTCGACTCAGAATATCAGCACGCTGTTTAACCAAGAACAAACTCAGAGCCTGGACCACACCCAGAATCTTACCTTCCAAAACACAATGGATATGGACTTTACGCGCGTAGCTGCTGCTAGAGACGAGAACCATGGCGATGAGATAGAAAACACCATCCACGTTGTCGACGAGAACGACAGTCATGACAACGGCGAAGACAATGATGATGTTGTTGGTGATGAAGATGATAACGACGATGACGACGAAGAGAGCATCGGCTATGATGATGCTGTCACAATGGAGCTCACCGGAATTGTGGGCAGGGAGTCTGAGTCCCCAGAGCTGCCAGTTGGGCACGTCCTGCAGCAGGAAACTGCCTCTAACGCGCTCCGAAACTACAACGCTAGCACGCCATTCAGAACGCCGACTGGTCCCGGCTATCTCAGCCAACAACCGACCATATCTGGATCTCTCATGGACATAATGGGCTCGATTTTAGACAACAGCCCAGGCATATCAAACACTGTGAGCCAATTTTCATCACAGCTCACCTCGCCACGCTCAGTCGCCAAACCGTACGTTGCCCCGAATCGCCCTACCGCACCACGCTCTCAGGCTGCACCAGACACACCAAGCCCTATCACGCCTGTCAATGGCAAAGACGCTGGCTTGGCCGCGCTTTTTTCTCGATTTACGGCAACCACTGAGTCACCATTTTATTCACCGGCGGCAGCGCTCCCCATAGCGGCAGCAGCAGCAGCACCGGTAGCAGAACTGACAGAGGCGGGACTAGTAAAGACAGAAGCACAGGCAGCGGCTGAAGAAGTGATAATGGCTAAAGCAACTGTAATGACTAAAGCAACAGTGGCAGCAGGAATTCAGGCAGCGACTGAAGCGGTGGAAATGACCGAAGCTGCGGCGGCAGCTGATGAGGCACATACGATGGCAAAGGCACAAGCAGCGGCGGAGACACAGACGGTGGCGGAAGTTGCGACAGAGGCACAAGCAGCGGCTGAAGAAGCGGCAATGGTAGAGGCGGCGGCGGCGGCGGCAGATGCACAAGCAGCAACAAAGACACAGTCGGCGGCTGAGACACGGGCAGCAGAAGCAGCAGCAGCAGCAGCACAGGCTCTGGCTGCCATCAGCCCCCGGCCAGGAGTTCAAAGGCTGCCAATAAAACACCCAGCCAGCGCCTGCCGCGCTCTCGGAGACGCTCCAGCCAAATCCATGTCGCGCAGGCGCTTTCTAACCTGGCCAAGGAAGAAGAGGAGAAAGAGGAGTGTGTCGCGGCAGCTTACCCCACTGCCTC